AAATCACACTATACTTAGGGTTCCACCGACATGACAATCAATGGAGATATCCAGCTCTGAGCCAGGTCCCATCTCTCTGAAGATACCCTAGTTTCAGTTTGAAACTTCCTGGGGAAAAGGATGATTCTTGTTCAATGGGGCTTTTCCTAGGTTTGTTTACTTAACTTACGGCACATAGAAGGGGTCAGGCCTGGCCTAGAACAGAAGCCTTTGCTCCCTGTACTAGGGAGCATGGGCGCCCCAGGGGAGGGTATCATGTTTCCTCTGCCCTGTCCAGAGTCCGGACAACAGCTACTCAGACCCAGCAGCTGCCACAAGCAATGCAAGCTATCTCGTCAGACTTGACTTTTCAGAGAAGTGCAAGTCCAAATGCCTTTGCGAAATCCCCAAATGTTTTAATGTTGGGAACGAATCCCATTAAAAACAATCACAACAAAACCCCTGGGCAGCAAAGCAGAAGGCCCTGGGAGTAACCTCAAGACAGATGCCAAGTCACAATTTCAGTTTCACTTCCTCTAAAGAGATGTCAGTGCATTCTGTTTCTTGAATGATTTTGTTTGCAAGCACATTGCAAAAAAAACCCCACACTTTTACATTTTTTTTTTTAAACCGTGTCTCTGAGAGGGCAAAGACTTAATACTCTGGGAGGTCACTGCCTGCTCAGAACTTTCCCTGGGGCTAGTCGGTGTGCTTCGTGCTTCCCCAGAGAGTGATCTGACCCTGCTTTCTGCCAAGGGCAGGTGCTATGGAACGGTCTGAGGACAATAAGGACACGCTGGGCCCAGCTATTGATGAGAAATATGCGTATGCATTCCTTGGCATCACTAGCTGGTGAATTACACCAGCGAGGGATGACTTTGGGGCTGTCCCTTTAAAAAGGAAGCACGCTGCACGCTACTAGGCAAGCTCCTCCTCCAGGGAGGTTCCTTTAAATGAAAGCCAGCTGTCTGGGCCTCCGTTTTACTCTTGAGCAATACCTGCCATTGAGGATCGCTCCCCAGGAGGCAGCAGCCTGTCAACATGGCTCAGGAGTTCGTGAATGGCAAAATCCATCCTGGGAAGGTGGTGGTGTTCATCAAGCCCACCTGCCCTTACTGCAGACGGACCCAAGAGCTCCTCCATAAATATCCTTTCAAACAAGGGACTTTGGAATTTGTTGATATCACAGCCACCGGTGACACAGATGAGATTCAAAATTATTTGCAAGCGCTCACAGGAGCCAGAACGGTGAGTCTGGGGTTTTGTTCTAAAAGGTTTGGGGAAAGACTCCCCGATTCCTTTTTCTTGTCAGGGCTGTGAAGGGTACGCCTGTGCTTTTCTCTAGGACACCGCTAGGGCTCCGTCACTCAAGGCGCCTGGGAGGGCTGTGCAGGGTGGGGGAGGGTGCCTGAGAGAAGACACTGCTCCCTCGAATGGGCGGCTGGACCGCAGCCAATGTCCTCTTAGAGCTCAGGAGGGGACACAGCTGATTGTGCTGGGCGTTAGGGTCCATGGGCCCAGCAGCTGTCTGCAGTCACTGAGGAATTATCTGGAGTCTTTGTTTTAAGCACCGCTGTGAAGTGACATTTTTCAGCGTGCAGGGCTGGGGGTGGAAGGTGGGGTGGAGGGGCCAACTGTGGCCTGTACGTCTGTTGTCCGCATGGGAATCCTGTGTACTCTTTTTCTGTTTTCCCGTGGCCACGTGGGATCTGCTGCCCTTCAGTCTTCTCTAGGCTTCCTCTAACCTTAACCAATTTGGCTCCACTTTCTTCCCTATCTAACCCCATACATCGGAAATAACCTAACAGCTCATCATTTGCCCCTTGTTCTAAGTTATGGGGTATGTCCAGGCCTGTCATAAAGTCCAGAGGCCCAACCCGGCTCACACAGTGGCTTTGCTGTGTGATCTTGGGCAAGTCACCACTCTGGGGTCCTTAAGGACCTCCTTGGCTGCAAGACCGGACTAGAGTTGATGACCTCTAAGTCCCCTTTGCCATGAATAGACCAAAGGACCACCTAACAACTGCTGTCCTGTATCTGAAGTCTTCCTCTTCCTCAGCACTCTCAGCTTCTTGTGGGATGCCCAGCCAACCAGATTGCCTGTATCAATTCTGGCGCTGGCTGGGGGGAATGGTGCCCCAACCAGCTCACCCAAGCTCCCCTTTCAGCGCACACTCGAGGACACAGTGTTTGCAAGAGCACATATCCTGGTTCAATTTTCGTTGGGCTTACAGGGCTTTCTTTAGGTTCTCAGTGTAAAGCACAGGAGGCTGTTTCTCTCTCCAGTAACAAATCAGCATTCTGGGGCCAAGGGAGGCTAAGCATGTCATACTATTGATGCCAGGGCCCCAGCTGTGCAGCTGTGAGCTGAGGACACCAACAACTGTACAGGCTGCCTGGGCACTGAGGGAGAGGGCCGTGCAAGCACTGCCACGGCCCCCACTGTGATGGCTCCTTCTCTGGCAGTGGTTTCTAAACGTTGCTGCACATTAGACTCACCTGAGGGTTTTTAAAAACAATATCCTGATGCCCAAGTCATACCCCATACCAATTAAATCACCATGTTGGAGGTGGGAACCAGGCCTCAGTAGTTTTAAAGACTCCTAGGTAAAAGGGTACAAACTTTCAGTTATGAGTAAATTCTAGGGATCTAATGTGCAGCATGGTGATTACAGTTAATAATACTGTAATGTATACTTCAAATTTGCAAAGAGAGATCTTAAGTGTTCTCACCACACACAAAAATGATAACCATGTGAGGTGATAGATGTACTAATTTGATTATGGTAATTATTTTACAATGTATACATATATTAAACCATGACATTTTGCATCTTACTATACACAAATTTATTTGTCAATTATTCCTCAGTAAAACTGGAAGGAAAGTAAAGGTTTATTTCCTATCTAAAAAAAAAAAAATCCCCAAGTGATTGCGATTTGCAAAAAGTTTTGGGATCTATGGCTTTCAGCTGGGCAGCACCTATTCTTTAGCAGGAAAAACAAACCCTTTCAGGCATTCATTCAACAAATGTTTTTTTTCATTTCTTTGTAAAGCAATGATTTTTCTTCCGGTGGCCTTTAAAGCTTGTTTTCTGAACTTTTAAAAATATTATTCACAGGTTCTCGAGTCCTAAATGCTTTTCTCCAAGGGGGAAGAACAAATCCTTTCAAGTTTTATGAGTCATGGCCCCCAATAGTGATGGGTTTATATTCGAAGAGGTTGAAACCTTAAAAGCAGTTGCCATCTTCCTTATCCTGTTAGGACCTGTGGCACTGCATGTCAGTCAGAGCTCAGCAGAAAGTGACTGATGACAGGAACTCATGCCTCCAGTCAGGCCATGTACCTGGAGAAAGCTGCTAGAGCCACAGCTCCTGGGTCAGTGCCTTCATTTATTCCTTCTCTAAAAATTTTCTTTTCTTCAGGTAGATTTTGAGTTTCTGACCTCAATCATTTTCCTTCTCTGAAGAGCTTCTTTGACCATTTCTTGCAAGGCAGATCTATCGGCAACAGAGTCCCTCAATTTTTGTGTGAGAACGACTTTTGTTTCTCCATCAGTTTTGAAGGATACTTTTGTGGGCTACAAGAAATGTTTTAAAGCATCTAGTCGGCACTTGTCTGGACATTGGAAACACCTCCATGAACAAAACAAACAGGAACGCCTGCCTTTGTGGAACTTACATCCTAGTAAAGACAATAAATAAAATAGTATGCTGGAAGGTGGTGAGTGATATGTGCTATGGAGAGAGACCAAGTAGGGAAGGGAGGTAGCAGGTGGCAGCAAGGCACAGTTTTAAATGGAGCCCCTGGGGCCTCACTGATTTGAGTAGGTCTCTAAAGGAGCAAGGCGTGCAGAAATTTAGGGGTCAGAGTGTTTCCGTGGGAACAGAAGGCACAAAGGGTCAGCCTTATAAGGAGGCCCGTGTGCCTGGAGCACTGTAAGCTAGCTGGACAGGAGGAGGAGATGAGGTCTGGGAGATAACGAGGTACAGGTTGGGAAGGCCTTTTCAAGCTATCATGACTGGCTGGTGACATGAGATGAGCAGAGAGCAGTGATCCGATCTGCCTTAGGTTTGAAAGGATCACTCTGGTGGCTGTGGGGACAAGAGGCTGTAGGGAGGACAGGGTGATGGTTGAAACTGAGAGACATCTGGAGGCTAGCGCTTTAATTCAGATGAGAAATGATGGTGGTTTGTACCAGGGACATAGCCAAGGAGGCGGTGAGGAGTGTTGTCGGGGAGTAGCTTTGGGTCGCCGATCTGAGTAACCTCAGAGCTCAGTGATGCCACCTAGCTGAGGCTGGGACAAACCTGCTCCAGGAGAGTAAGAGCCCCCAAGTTACCAAGCTTGTTTATGGTGGCAGTTCTCCTTCTGCTTCTTGACAGTAACAGACTCTCAAGTTCCACTGAAAAGGGACATGGGGCCGGAAAACGGGAATGCGGTGGGCGCTGAGGGTGCATTTCTGCTTCCTTCCTAACTGAATCAGGCTTCCTGTTTTGTCACCACAGCTCCCCGCCTCCCCGCCCCCCAACACACACAAACACACACACACACACACAGTGTTGGGTGCAGCTTGTAATTCTGCTCCCTCTGGGGTGACAGGAACTGGTGACTTTAAGGTGGTTTTGCTGCTTTGGAGACTGGAAGGTGGGCGTAAGGGGCACAAGGCCTTTCAGTTCTCAGGCGAGCCAGCTGCCTTGCCAGATGGTGTGCACAAAACTCTGCCCTGGAGATGGCCCGATCGCATTTCAGGGCCTGTCTCTGGTGTCTGGGGGTGGCTGTAGGGCTGTGAGTTTTCAAAGCCTCAGGCACCCTGGGAAGAATGAACAGCTGCTCACTGTCAGCCTGTCGGTTTTGCAAACATGCTCCGTGGAGTGGCCGTGTCAGCATCACCTGGGAACTTGTCAAAGATGCAAATTCTGGGCCCCCAACCCAGATCTCCTGTATCAGAAATTGGGGGTGGGAGTGGGGGAGCAGAAATCTGTGTTTTAACAAGGCTTTTGGCGGTTCTGGTGCATGTTTCACTGTCTAAGGAGAAGGCTCCTTGTTTCTCAGGGCCTTCTCTCCAACTAACTTCACTCACACTCTCGTGGCCAATACCTTCCTCACAGGTGGAGGTGAATCAAGCTGTAGGAATGGTGACCATTGCTCAATTCTTTGTGGAAAGATATAAAAGTTCAAGAATGAATATACCTCTTCTTATTTTAGGCTCGGGTTATTTCTATTTCATTAGGCGCTGCCTTCAACAGGAGTTCTGCAGTATAAATATGTTAGGATTACATTAGGATTGTATTTACTGTTACAATGGACCACAGCCACGGGTTCTTGGGGAGACAGAGCCAAAAGGCCCTACTAATTTGTGGGAGGTGCTTTATTTTTCTCTAAAATAATGGCCAGCCCCCAGGGGGATACCTAGGTTTCTGACCTCGGTTTTCTGCAGCTGTTCTTCCTTCAGCTCGTCAAAGCAATGCCGCCTCAATGCCACTTTCCTTTTGCAAGGTCCCCACACACAGGCAGGTGGTGCCAGTGGCAGCACCTTCTGCAACTTCAGGAGACACACCCAGGCTTTCTCTCTGGAACGCAGGTCTGTGTGCTCTTTCCCACTGGGGGGGCACAGGAAGTTGCTGTGGAAATGCAGTGCAGGACTTCTGTTTAAGTGTTTGGCCTTCATTTTTAAAGCCCAATTCCACCCAGGCTCCCTTCTTAATAAAAATGTTAGGACACAGCTGAACTAACTCAGCCCTTGTTCTCTTCTCTTTCACTTTTTAAAAAGTTCATTTGAATTCTGATGCCTTCTGAGGAAAACCAAAAGCTTTGAGAATATGCTTCCCGCGTCTTCTCTTTCACTTCTCCCGCCCCTTGTGGTATGTTCCCAGCGTTCAGGAAGATGACCTGTTTGCTTCTGACCACTCAGGTGACCTTTGTCGTGCTTGTTTCTTCACTGCCTGTTAGACTTTCTGTAACATCCTTGGCCTGGAAGCTGTTTGGGCCAGAGTGAGAGAACGCTCTCCTCCTCCAGGATTCCAAAAGCCCAAGGGACTTCTGCAATGTGCCTGCACCAAGCAACAGGGCGGGGGCTGAGTGTGGCTGGATGAACGCATGCCGCAGATGTCATGACCGCGTCAGCCTGTTTGCCTTGGGTGACCCACCAGGGCAGGTGTGACACGAAAGCAGAGGAATGGCCTTGCTCCCCGAGGGGCAGCCCTTAAACATCTTATGATGATAGGCCAGGAATTAAAGAAGGAGACTAACATACCACCACCCCTTCTGCAGCTGAGGACAGAGCCCATAACAGGGAGAGATGACTGTAAATCTAAAAATCAGAGACAGGGACCTAATGCAAAATGTTTCCAGCTACACTGAGAAACAAACTCCTTCCTGGTTGCCATGGCTGTCACTTTAAGGTCTCAGGTGTGGTCCCAGCTGCACAGAAACCAGATTTCAATCAGGTTGGTCTAGCGGCAGCCAACCAAAATTCTTTCCCCGAAATATGCTTCTGCAGAGTGAAAATTTTAAATCACTTTGACACGTTAGACAGTCTTATGCACAGCACAACTCAATTTGAAAAACATCTTGGCCTAAAAACATTCTCTAATGTATAATTTTATGCTTAGAATGAAGTTTTGACCTGAAATACACGAGGAGACTGTAAAGTGATTTGAAAAGCTTTGGATCATGGGAAATATTTAGAGGAAGGATAAAATGTCATTCTCCCTAACCTAATAATTAAATTCCTTAAATGTCCTGGCTTGTTTGCTTTTTCAGGTACCTCGGGTCTTTATCGGTAAAGAGTGTATAGGTGGATTCACTGATCTAGAAAAGATGCATCAGAGTGGGGAACTTCTGACACAGCTAAAGCAAATTGGAGTTCTACAGTAATTATAGGTGAGTGACAGGGGATGGGGGCTTGGAACACTGGGAGATAGTGGAATTCTACTGCCATATTTTATTATAATCTAGGAAGGCACTCTGGCTTGGGAAAGAATGATTGGGAATGATCTGAGGAACTGTAATGTCATTTATGAATTTCCCATTGTACAAAGAAATTGTGTCAATGGGAGAAAGCTTTTGCTAAATTTTCATTTAACAAATATTTGTTGAGCATTTACTATGTGCCAGACACTACTAGGCACTGGGAAGATTGTGATGAACAAAAAAGATAACATGGAATTTATATTCTACAGAGCTAGACATACCAAAACTAAGTAAATAATTTCTGAAACAAATGAATAGAATAATAGAATATGGCGGGGGGGAGGGAGCAAATTTAGCTAATAGTGTGAGGGGAGGCCTTTCTCAGAAGGGATGGCTGAGCTGAGACCTGGAGACAGCCAGGTAAAGGTGAAGCAGAAGAGTGTTTCAGACAGAGGGAATAGCATGTGCAAAGGCCCTGAGGTGACAACAAGTATAGAATATCCAAGGATTAGAAGGCAAGCAAGAGCAGACTGAGTCAAGTGCAATGACAAGGAAGAGTAGTAAGGAATGTGGGCACAGGGGCTGGAGCTCACAGGCCATGGTAAGCAATTGGATTATAAATGCAAAGTGATCAAGGTAATTTTGCTTCACCTGTGTTCACACTGCAGCTCAATTCAATCTAATGGGCTTCCCAAACACCAAAACCAAGTTTTCTAATGGTGATCCTTGGCTGAATGGAGAACCTTAGGGTGATGAACTCTTTAGAAAGGAACCAGGATACTTTTGGGGTGTGATGAGCTCCCCTCTCCCCCAGCTCTTGTTAGTAGGGCTAGCTAGCTTCTAACTAGGCCAATTCTACTGATTCATACACAGAGAGACTCAGTGGCTGTTTTTTAGTCAAAGGAAACATTTGTGGTTGTTAAATCAAAATGTTCTTTGAGGGATATTATGGCCCACTAATTAATAACTTACCCTTTAGCAATGAGTATATATAATTTATGGAGGTTACTCAGAATAGCCACAGAAGTTAAAAAAAAAAAAAGGTTCTGAAAAAATACAATGCAATCCCTTGATATAAAAGTCAATATTAAAAACCTTCTAAGCACAACTCTACAATATTATCACAGCAGGTGAACACTATGTCTGTTTGTGTTAGCTTTCTCACCCCATGCACTAAAGCACTCAAAACCCAANGGGTTTTCATGCTCCACACAGTGTCTATGCCACACAGTTAGATGCCGATGACCTCTTCTCATTGACGGGCCCTTGTTCCTCCTGGGTCCCTTTTGTGGTGTCCTGAATGTTGGAAGGGGAGACCTGTAGAGACCCATCCTTAGGCATCAGAGAGAGAGAGGAAAGATGAGACCCCTTTGCCTTGGTAGCCAGATGAGGTGTGGGAGAGCAGGACAGCGATGCAGTGCCATGGCAGGCTTTGGGGAAGCTGCAAATGTGTGGTCCAGGGTTTCTACAGCTGTGTGCTGCCAGCGCCTGGCCACCCTCTTCCATGCTGTACCCCCATCAGCCATGGAGACAGACAAGCACTTCATCTCTCTCCCCTTCCTTCACCGATTTCACTGGCTACGCGTTCAACATCTGCTTTCCTGCTGTTGGGACAACGGGACCAGCTCCTCTCAGAGCAGTGGAGCCTAGGAAGAGCTCATGGTTGGTCAGGCTGGTTGGGAATGGAGCTGTCACTCAAGGTGGCCCTGTCAGTGCCATCACCCAACTATCATCTCAATACTCAACTATTGGGAAACTCAGCAGGTTCTAGACAGCAGCCACCCACTTCTTCCTCCCAAAGGAGTTGCTATTTGCTTTCCAGGTCATGAGGGAATGAAGCACTTGGTTTCACAAGCCCCGAATGTTGACCCAGTCCTGGAAGAAGAAGCCAACACCCAAACTCGACCATTTCTGCTCTTGCCTGGGTTAGAAGAGGAGCATGAGGACGTGGCTGGAAACAAAGTCTTGCCTCCTCCTGGGGAAGGGTGTGCACAGTTGAGTCTTTGGGTGATGTCACAAGTGAGGAACTCTGCTCAGCAAAACTGTAGCAGGGCCCAAAAGAGACGGACTCAGAGTCAAGACAAAGGTTAAAAAGTGTCAGAGACATCATGCCGTTGCTGAAAGGATTTATTAAGTTCACGTGAAATACCCTCTGTTGATTCCCAGATATTACGGGAAGCTCTTTGTAAGGACTGCAGTTCTCCACTAGAAGATTCAGAGAGACAACAAAAACAAAAACAAAAAACAGTGAAATAGATGCTCTANAGGGAATTGAGGGTGTTTTTTACCTTTCCAAGAAAATCCAATTCTTTGTATTTTTTCCTAGCAGAGCAGACCCCAGGCTGATCTCAGCTGGATGTCATTGCAAATGATGGCAGCACTTTCTGGTGGATGGATCGCGGGCTACCTTTATCCAGCTACAGCAACTGAAATTCTGAAATATGTAAACCAAAAAAATGGGAGGGGACGATTGGGGGCAAAACCATGCTTTTCTTTTCTTGACTCAATATTAAGTGGACCCACTTGGCCCAAACCACAGGTCTGAGAAGGTTGATGGACGTCTTGGGTTTCTTCTGGATTGGCCCCTGGGTTCCAAAAGACCATGAGAATTATGGCTTAGGATTCACTCACTGACCCAAAAAGTTCTTTCTCTTTGGCACGTGGTCCTCACTGTTCTTCATGTGCTAGGACTTCTCTACCTCTAAGACAGTATTTCTCAGCCAATTTCATCCCAGCCCCCCTAGGAGGAATTTAGAGTTGGTTTTCTGCTACTGCCTGTAAATTATTCTATTCAGTTTGACTTTACAGTTTGTAGTATGAAATCACTAGGTATTTTGAATGTGCTTTTCCAAACTACATGTGTCTCCCATCACCATCCCACCCCCATCCTATCTGGGGGTGAGAAGCAACGCTCTGAACGAGTGTTCTTAACCTTGACAACTCACAGATCTCATAGGCATTGTTCTACAATTCTGTGAAGGGTCTGAGAACCCAAGTTGAGAAGCGCCACATAAACAGTTCAACACAATGGGTCTTCACTTGGTGCTCTAGGGATCAGAGGTCCAAGCGCAGATGCTGTGACCGCGTGTTAACACTGTGTGATATATGATGATCATCCAGGAATGAACAAGGGTGTATTTGTTTGTTTAGATCAATAATGAGAGTCAAACATAAAATTTTAAACATTTTATAGACAACTTGCAACACTCCCCCCCAAGAATATGTCTGTGAAAGTAACCAAATTTGAGAAACACTGTCCTGAATTATTTTCTCTCCTCCCCCGCCACTCTATGAAAACTGAAGGAATCCCTCATTGTGAAGTATGTTCTAGAATTGCAAGATAAAGTTAATTTTCCTTTTGCAGTCTCTAGTGTGAAAGGTTAATTTCTTTTCTAATAAAGAAGTACTCATAGATGACACAGTGATATTTGTCCAATTCTTTTCTTTGTTTTCAAGACCTTAAGGAATGCTATTACTGTGAGATACACTGATTTGAAGCTTTATTCATGTTTGTCCCTGCCATTATAAATAAAGGCACATGCTATTGTCCTTCACTGAGTACAAATGGTTGATGTGATTTTTAAATTTCATGCTGAAATGACAATTCGAATATGTCAACACTAGCCTACTGAATAATGTTTGGGTTTTAATAATAGTCTTATTCATTTCATATTCCATCTTTCCATTTCTTACCTAATACCCTTGTACTTTTGCCTTCCACTGTCTTCCTTTATGTGCCCCAGCCACTCCCTTCAACCAGATTGCTGTGAATTGTGCCTGTTGTGCAGGTTACGCACTGTGCAACACTATGAATGCCTCCTTCTGGAGGCTGTGCGGTGTGCAACCTGCAGTCCCTGATCCACTCCAGCCCACTGGTTTGTGCCTCTCACACTTGTGTCCTTCCTTGTTCACTGTGTTTCTTCTCCTTTGTTCTACTTTCAAAGTCCTCCTTCAAGGCCTGATTTACTGACTATCTCCCCATACCTACCCTCTCTCCTCGCTGCTTTTCTAAGAAAGCCATCGCTCCCTCTTCTGGAATCCTAAAGCACCCTGCATTTTGGGTACTTCGCCACTCTCCTCAGGTTGTAGTATAGTTAATCATCTGTACTGGTCTCTTGCCAGATTCAGAAATACTGTATTCAAAGGCCAAGGGGCTCAACTTAAACATCTGCGTATACCCAGTTTCTAGCACCTAGGTTCTATTTTATCAAAGCAATGCATGCATGTACTTTAAAATGTCACTCCTACTCTACACCTCCCAAACCCCAGTCTTTGCCATACATTTATCCGTTTCAAGGGTATTAAAGCCTATTTAGAAATATTGTAAAATGTATTAGGTATATATAAGAGTGTATAGCAGGCATAGTTCTATTTAAATTAACACCCAGGTATCTGCCTCCTTGGTTAAGAAATGAAGCACCTATATAACAGTGTTTCTAAGATACCAAGAAAGTACGTTGGGGGCCCATGTGCCCCTTACCAATGAATTCCCTTCCTCCCTCCACAGAGGTACTCTAGCTCATTTCTGTTGTAATCAGTCTGATGCTTCTCTTCACAGTTTTACTCTACAATACCCCTAAGCAATACATTTTAGTTTTGAAAAGCAATAGCAAACGCCAACCTAGCTGCGTAAGAAAGGGCAATACAATCACAGTCAGATGAACAACCCCAGGAGGTCAGCTGAACAGAGAGGCTCAGCTTCCCTGGCAGTTTATGAGACGGGTGGTCCTGTGTGAGTCCTTGGAAACACTGGGCACCGGGGGTCTGGGAGACTATTGTGTGAACAGGTAATGGGCACCTCCCAAAAATATGGTCAACAGAAGTGGGCTGCTCTGCCTTTTCTGCTTCCGTGGTCCACTTCCAGCTTGCAGAAACAGGTCAAAGAGTACACCACCCTTATCTAGACACGTGTGGCATGGAGAACAGAAATGTCATCAGTACAAGGCAAGCTAAGGACAGATAAGAATCTGCTTCAGGGTCATTTAGGCTTTCTTGCCTCAGGTTAAAAAAAAAAGATACAACAGGAGAGCCCTTAACATGGAGGATTACACTGCTCCAATCTGCACTGGGTGCCCTCTACATCGGGGCACAGCTCTCTCCTTGGGTCTCCCTTTACTCGTCCTGGGCATTCCATTCCCTCTCTCCTCTCCTGGGGTGGACCTCCTGGTTCCCACACCATATACACACATCCATCTACACACACACACACACACACACACACACACACACACATACATACATAGACTGGGGGTGCCAAAAAAACGTATACACATGACTTGTATTCATCTTTTGTTATAGGTATTTATTGAATATTACAATTTTAATAGTTTTCCTTTCTTAAAATATATATACATTTTTGGCACCCTCTGTATATACTATATCTATATCTTTTCATCTATCTATATACTGCTACAATAATGACATAAAATTGTAAATTGTGATAGCTTCTCTCTCTCTCTTGTAACAGTCCAGAGGCAGGCAGGTGGCTTTGCTCCATAAAAGTCGCATCAGCCCAGAAGCTGTCTGCACCACTTCTGCTCACATCCCACTAGCCAGGACTTCATTCATGGCTGCACTTAGCTGCAGGGGAGGCTCTGCAGTGGTGTCCCTCCTGAGAAGCCTCTTGCCTGGCTAACTCTGAGGGACGTCTGTGTCAAAAGAAATTAGAGGGAAATTCACAAGCTGTGTCTGTTTTTTAGTCTTCTTTTTCATTTCAGAGAACCATATATCCTCCATAGGTTTTAAGAAAGAGAATGGGAAGTAAACTTTTTGAAACTCTCTGAAAATATTGTCGTTCTACCCTCATATCTGATGATAGTTCGTCTGGTTATAGCTCCTAGTTGGAAGTCATTTTCCTCCAGAAGTTAGAAGGCACTGCTCATTGTCTTTTGCTTTCAGTGTTGTTTAAGTCTGAAGCCATTCTGAGTCTTGATCCTGTGTGGGTGACCTGTTTGGTTATCTTGTTTGTTTTATACTCTGGAAGCTTACAAAATCTTCCCTTTGGGCTTTGTGCTCTGAAATACCACAGTGATGTGCCTTGGTGAGGGTCTATTTTCATATTTTATGGGGGTTACTTGAAGGTTTCATGGGCCCATTGGGAATTTTATTGGATTATTTTACGGCTACTTTCCTTCCCTTCATTGTCTGTGTTCTCTTTCTGGAACTCCTAGTAATCAGACATTGTTCTCTAATTTTTGTTATATTTTCTTTCCTATTTTCTATCTCTTTTTTTCCTGAAGAATTTACTCTTTATCTTGTTTTTCTATTGAGTTTTTAATTTCTGGTATCACATTTTAAAATTTTCTGATAGTTCTTCAATATTACCTGAATGTTCCTTTTTATAGAATTGTTTGTTTCATAAAAGCAGTACCTTATCTCTTTGAGGCTATTGTGACTTTTTTTTGTTTCCAGCTATGATTTTTTCTTATTTCTAAGAGTTCTCTTGTTCTTGGATGTTTCCTTTTTTTCTTTGTTCTTGTTTTATGAAGGCTTTTTTTTTAATCTCTGAAAGGATATTAATTATAGTTGGGGCTTTTTGAAAAGCTGTATTCTGATTCCTGTATCTTCTCTGTTCCCTGAGTCCCTGTCTTCTGTTGCTGTTTTATATTTGAACGCCTTCCAGTGTTCTGCACTGAGCACTTGAGATCTGGCTGTCTGTAAATATTCAATGATGCAACAAAAACGGATTGGAAGATTTATGTGCATAGACTGGGCTTGTCAAATGGCGGGCTTCACCATAGAATATTTGTACAAATGTCACCTTCTAAGCAAGGCTTTCCATATCACCCAATTAAAAAATGTCACTGGCATTCCCTCTACCTCTTCTTTGTTGTTTTTCTCTATAGCATTTATCACCTAATATGTTATATGTTACTTATTTAGTTTACTGTCTGTCTTCACCACTAAAATCTAAACCCCTTGAGGCCAGGAACTTGTATCTGTGTATTTATTGCTCTGTCTACAGCACTGAGAAGACTACCTGCATATTGTAGACACTTGATCAATGTCTGTTAGCTGAATGAATGAATGAATGAATGAATGAATGAATGAATAAAGAAATGATCAGGTGCAGATCCTCCAACTGTTAGTTCCTAGACCTTTTTCTTTTGAGCCGTTCACTTTTCCCATTCCACAGCTGGGGGGTGGGGACTTGCCTCCATTTCTGGCTGCCAAACAGAGAAAAGGGATAGAGCAACCCCCCTGGTCAGTGTGCAGTCTATTCTGTAATCTCCTGTTTTCTGAAGCTCCTGGTGGAGTAATTCTGTGTAAAATGCAGGGATAGAAAGGACTATCATCCAAAGAGCACAGAAGTTGGCACAAGAGGCTGGCAGAGGAAAACAACAAGAATAACCAGGCAAACATTCCTAGCCAAAGCTCTGCTCCTGTTTACTTAAAAAGCAAGTGATTCAATCTCCTATGCATGTCTCATTTTAATAACTGCCTTCAGTCTGCTGCTTCCAGCCTGGCCCCTGGAGAGGGACAACTGGCAGTCATTCATCTCAATTCAAGGGAGTGCAAAGATGGCCCTGAAGGGGAAGCAACTGCCAGGGGTGATAAATGGGCTTGTGTGGCCCAGGTCATACTATTCATATCCTCAGTGAATATTATTAGGCCATTATCTTGACATTTGGGTGTAAGACAAAGCCATGCTCTCTAATTCACTGCACCATAACAATTGTTAGCGGGTCCTGGGGGAACATTTTAAAGAACTGGGCTTCTGAGATAGTTTAAATAAAATTCCTTTCTTATAATATTAATAGTGATCTATTCTTATTAAATACATTGAATTGAAGGGGCAGAATTTAATCCTACTAATTAGTGGAAGAGAATTCTGGCCTGGTCCCTTTAAGTACAAGTAATATTTAAATATGGGTCTATATTTATGCATAGATTTGTATTTCCGATCCCTAGGTGACTTTTCTGGTGAGCTGTGCAGAGCTGAAGAAAGGAGACAAAAAGGGTATTAGGAGAGCCAATGAAAGCAAAAAACTTTGTGTAATCATGCTGAGTTGCATCTAGTGTCCCTGGGGTTTTATTCCCAAGGGCTCTGCCTTCCAGGTGGGGGTTCTCCCTCCCAGCCAACAGGGCTGTAGCCTCTGTGCAGCAACTGCAGCTGTTTTCTCAGTAGAGAGCACAGCAACTGCCTTCTCACTTTCCTCTTGTGTGCCTTGTGAAATTTGGAATACTTTGTACATAACATCATAAGTAGCTTTTTTATTTTTTAGATTTTTTTTTTTGAATTGGGGGAATTGGGGGATGGGAACAGCGCTGGGGAATTGGGGGAAGGGGAACAGACAAGTTGCCGTCCTTTTGTTCCTCAATCCAGTTGTGGAGGACGTTGCTTCATTGGCTCAAGTTGGCACCATCATTGCGCTCTTCCTGGGCGAGGCAGATTAGTCGCTGGCTTCTGGACGGCCGCTCACTGCGGCTGCTGGCCGCTCACGCTGGCTGCTGGCTACACACGGTAGCCCATGGCAACCCACTGCCACAGGGGCTGCAGCCTATGCCGTCGCCGGCGACTCATGGCAGCCCAGCTCCAGGTTGAGCTGTTGTTCAGCA